TATATATATATATATATATATATATATATATATATATATAAAAGATATACAACCAAACTGATTAACCGATCAGATATAAAATTCTCATGATATTTGAATGATCAAATAGGATCTTAGAATTTATAATTTTCACATATAAAATTAAATAAAAATACTAACCTTGATCTATGATGAGATTGATGACTTTGAATCTTGTAGAATTTGTAAGAAGAATCTTTTCTATCTCTTTATCTTTATCTTTTCTTTGTACTCTGTTTCTTGATGGTAATTAAGAGACAAACTTTCATAGGCAGAGATAGAGATTATTCATGTCCTTCCATTATATATATATTGTTTCCATCAAACAATATACCCCTTCATTAAAACATAATAACTCTTTCCCAAAAGTCATACCCTTTCATTCAAAATAATTGAATAATATACCTCTAAAAGTTATATCCTTTCATTTGCCACACACATAAAATATTAATTTCTTACATCAGAAACTAGTCTTAAACCAGTTTAATTAGTCTAAAGATCAAATTGTTGAAAAATTAGTAGATCCAATTAAAATTGGTAAAAAAATAAGTCAAACTAGTTTGAACTGATTAAGTTAGAAAAATTGTTTTTAATTTTTAAATTTAATTCAATATATTTTTAATAATAATATTCAATAAAAAATAAATTAGAATAACTTATTTTTAACACTTGTTTCATAACTATAATTTAATCATTTATGTTAATTTACAACTTTTAATATAATTATTTTTTGATAGTTTATATTATATTAATTTATTTTTTAAAATTTTAGACATAAACTTATTATTATTAACAGGTTAATATATTTTATTAAAAATTAAACTTAGATATTATATTATATACAACTTAGAATTTTTACGTGTATATTAAATATAAAAAAATTAAAAATAACATTTTATTTTTATTTTTTAGTGTTATAAAATTCTAATATTATATTTTATATAATGTTAATTGTATAATAATAATAATATTTATTATTAATATTAATAATAATTACTAGTTTCATCATGGTTCAAACAACTATTGAATTATTAAAACTTGAACCAAAGTTTAGATCGATTTAATGATTGTTTTGATTTTAAAAACATTGCTATTGATCATGATTTTGAAAATTGGACTGAATGGATCAGTCGGACTAGTTCAATTAAGAAACAATCTTTAACGAGTTTCATTGATCCCAAGAATCATTTGACAACAAACCAGTGAAAAAATTGTAAAACTAGTAATAAACCAATCAAATTAATTTGAACCGGTTCAATTAAAAATGATTTTAAAACTTTTAAATTTAATTTAAAATAATTTTAATAAAATACATATTTTTAAAAATTATAAATTAAAATAATTTATTTTTAATACCTAACTTATAAATATATTTATGTTAATTTGTAATTTTTAATATCTTTATTTTATAATTTATATTATATTAATTTGACACTCTTTATTCTAAATGTAAACTTGTCATCATTAATAAGTGTAACGACCTGTCATGGCCGTCACACTACGGAACAACACTACACACTACAAGAATATATATACTAAAATAGTATATTAAAATAATTACAACACAAGTTGCTAATCAAGCAACCAACAACAACCAGCTATATACAACAAAATATGTTATTATAAGGTAGCTTACAAAAAAACCAATCCAACTCCAGGCACCTCCTGTGGTCTCCAGTTGTATATGGAGGACCAGGTTCAGCACCTTGGAAGAGATATGGGTGATTACAACATTTACGTAGTTGCATTGCTATATTTAGGAGACGTTTCCGTTCTCCACCTGCATTCACAACCTCCAAATCCTTCTGCAGTAATGCCTTATAATACTGTTTCTGCATTTGTGACATTCCTACTTTGAGAATGGTTTCCTTTTTCGGTGGCAACCCTTTCTCAACGTCTGACTTCAACCTCCGAAGAAGAAATGGACGTAGGACCTTAATTATACACAAAAAATGAAAACATTACCATATATCATATATTATCACAATAGACACTAAGCAACCAAAAAAAGCTTAAAGGCTTACCTTGTGTAACTGCTGAACAACCTCATGTTCATCATTTTCACCAGAGATTTGAAACCATTCATCAAAAGTTTCTGCAGAACTAAATATTTCAGGCAAAAGAAAGTTGAAAAGAGCCCAGAGTTCATGCAGATTGTTCTGCAACATCAAAAGAAACAAATCACATTAATTACTCGAGTGTATTAACATTATTACTATACGTGCAACCAAAGAAAGGGAATTAAGATTCAGATTTCAAAATAAGCCACATCTCAGAACTTATATTTCAAATATATAAACCAAGGGTAAACAATCAATGGCATCCAACAACCAAACCGAACCTACCAACATATGAACAACACCAAAATCACCACATCATATGCACAACATCTTAATTACATTTGTATTATACATTCACCTATATTATACCAAATGTGAGCGGTCTAAATTACTTTATCATACCGAATCAAAACAATCTTTTTACACAATCTCATATGTCATCATTTAAGCTATGAAGTTTAATATTATTGCTAAGGTATAACATTTTGAATATGAGTCTACCACAATATTAGCTTACAACATTAAGCCCTCTATGAGATTAGTTCATTGCTCCAAATACCATGTCCTTTTAGTACTCAGTTAGGAACCAAGTCCTTGACCTTGTACATTACTCAATTAGTCACTTTATACATGTATGTTTTGACCTTGTACATATATGGATCAACATCGATTACTTATAACATGTATGCCTCAATTTGACACACATACTACATCAATTAAGATCATAAAGGAGACTCAACTATCCACTTCAAAAGTTAGCTACTCAATAAAGGTTTTCAAAAACTAGGTTTATTGAGCACCACACCAATATTTTTCACAATGGGATATCCATATTTCGAAAACACCATCTCCTTTAATCCCAAGGTAATTAACAAATAATGTCTAAATGCCTAAGGCATTCTCAACATCATACCTCAAAAGTTCAACAATTAACCAATATATCATGCCTAAATGCCTAAAGCATTTTCAGCATCACATCTCAACAATTCAACAATTATTTATCTACATGCATTATTCCATATCAATGAATATAGAACTAACGACATTAAACAATATGTAACATGATAGATTCACCTAACCTATTAGTGTTTGCCATTTTATCAATAAAACAAGTTTTCACAAGACAATCCACGCACAATACCATTCAACTTGCACCTAGTGTCATTAAGATAGGAAGTTCTCTATCTTGCTCATGCTTGACATGGATGAGGTGGGGAACCCCTAGAAATTCATGCCTAACATGGTCAAATTCCACATCCAACCCCATTTCAAGTAGAATCTCTGTCTGACTCACACCTAGTGTCATTCACCTATATTATACCAAATGTGAGCGGTCTAAATTACTTTATCATACCGAATCAAAACAATCTTTTTACACAATCTCATATGTCATCATTTAAGCTATGAAGTTTAATATTATTGCTAAGGTATAACATTTTGAATATGAGTCTACCACAATATTAGCTTACAACATTAAGCCCTCTATGAGATTAGTTCATTGCTCCAAATACCATGTCCTTTTAGTACTCAGTTAGGAACCAAGTCCTTGACCTTGTACATTACTCAATTAGTCACTTTATACATGTATGTTTTGACCTTGTACATATATGGATCAACATCGATTACTTATAACATGTATGCCTCAATCAGTAATGCCTTATAATACTGTTTCTGCATTTGTGACATTCCTACTTTGAGAATGGTTTCCTTTTTCGGTGGCAACCCTTTCTCAACGTCTGACTTCAACCTCCGAAGAAGAAATGGACGTAGGACCTTAATTATACACAAAAAATGAAAACATTACCATATATCATATATTATCACAATAGACACTAAGCAACCAAAAAAAGCTTAAAGGCTTACCTTGTGTAACTGCTGAACAACCTCATGTTCATCATTTTCACCAGAGATTTGAAACCATTCATCAAAAGTTTCTGCAGAACTAAATATTTCAGGCAAAAGAAAGTTGAGAAGAGCCCAGAGTTCATGCAGATTGTTCTGCAACATCAAAAGAAACAAATCACATTAATTACTCGAGTTTATTAACATTATTACTATACGTGCAACCAAAGAAAGGGAATTAAGATTCAGATTTCAAAATAAGCCACATCTCAGAACTTATATTTCAAATATATAAACCAAAGCAGAAGATAAAATTGTCGGAAATTTCCGTCGGAAATCAGCATTTTTCTTGTAGTGCCACTGTATCAATACTTCAATGCAGCTACTGTACAAACCATTGGAATAGTTACCATATTCATCATAACAACAACCGACACATGCATTGCACACCTCTCAACAACACATGTTTAAAAGCAACTTACAACATAACAACACTATCATCATCCTCAACAGGGTTAACATACAACACATAACAACACATAACTCAATCACAACTTCACAACACAACAACACATATACAGCTCATATCAATCATCAATTAAACACATCAACAACTTATGCGTCGTCACGCATTTCAATTCGGAGATCTCCTATAACACGGGTGAGCAGTTTAAGTGGCTAGGTTCTACCGAACCGACAACAAAGAACCTTTTTGGGCTTGTTAGGTAAACAACAAATTTGGATGCCAATCCACAACATGATAACGATTTCTCACACTTTGCCACTTAAACAAGGAAGTATAGTACTATGTCAGGATAGAACAGCTGGGTTTAGGCCTACCACGACATTAGCTAGCTTAACTAAGCCATCTATGAGATTAACCTACTGACTATCCTCTAGATACTACAACCCTTTGATACTCGATTAGGAACTAAGTTCACAACCTCGTACTTTACTCAAATTGGTCGTTTTGTAATCGGTATAGCTCGACCTGGCCCTTATACCGTGGTCGCTTTGTACACGTGTGTCTCGACCTTGCACACACACGGGACCAACTAAGTACTAGAGCCGAACAACACAATGTCCACTCCAAGGGACAACTTCCCAATGAGGGTTTTCAACAAATTGGGCTCTCTGAGCACCACAGCTTTTTCAATCCACACAATGGGATGGGCAACTTCAAAAACATCTCATCTAATCCTAGTGATCAAATTTGGTCGCTTGTAATCGGTATAGCTCGACCTGGCCCCTATACCGTGGTCGCTTTGTACACGTGTGCCTCGACTTTGCCCACACACGGGACCAACTAAGTCTTAGAGGAGAACAGCACAATGTCCACTCCAAGGGACAACTTTCCAAGGAGGGTTTTCAACAAAATTGGGCTCTCTGAGCACCACAACTTTCTCAATCCACACAATAGGATGAGAAACTTAAAAAAAAACATTTCCTCCAGTCCTAGTGATCAACAACTCATCATCACAGCATAATCAACATACAACACAACTCAACTCAACATCTTTAACAACATAATCAACATACTACTCAACTTAACATCTTTAGCAGCATAATCAACATACAACACAACTCAACTTAACATCTTTAACAACATAATCAACTCAACAACACAACTCAGCTCAACAACTTAAACAACATGATCAACTTAACAACTTAACGACTCAACTCATAATCTACAACTCAATCATCATAAAATAATATCTTTCAACTATATCATCTCATCATATTTCACAACATAATTAGCCAACTCATAACATAAAACAACTTTAACCACTTAATTTCAACATGCTCCAACCATATCATCAATTCAACATATAATAGATCAACAACTTCACAACATACAACATATTCAACACATAATACAACTCACCCATCATGTTTACAACTCATCTATCATGCCAACCTACACATCATATATAACATGAATTAACCTACGCACCCAAGACAGCCTTCAACTTATCCAAATCACTCCTTGTGAAATGACAACCTTTACATAAAACAGCATATCAGGAGTTATACTACTCCTATCATTCTCATCCTTATCTCATATGAAAGATAAGAAGATTTCCTACAACTCTCATGAAGATACCAATTCCTAAATCTATCATCTACCTTGTTAAAAATTCTAAAAACCGCAACAGCTATAACCAATGCTGGCAGCTTGACCCCTCTTCACTAAAACAGTCATATCTAGAGTTCTAGAACTCCTTTTTGGGTGATTCCAGCGCCATTGGAAAACTAAGATCCAAGGATACAACTTTCATGAAGACTACAAAGTCAAATTATGAAAGCAAAAAAGCGCTCAGCACCTCCAAAGCGCTCAATGCTTTAGCTCTAGGAATTCTCCTCTAGCTCTCTATCCCCAAAGGGCTCAGTCCTTCAAAATGGCTCAGCCGTTTCAAAAGCGCTCAGCCCTTTAAAATGGCTCAGCCCTTTAAAACAACTCAACTGTTTATGACAGAACCCACATGTTCTTCACCATTTTCACCCAGAACCTGTGATCTCAGAATAATCCAACACATGCAACTACCTCCAAACACTTACCACTAAATCAAACAGCTAAAAGCAACTCAAAACATCAACATGCAACTATAAGATCACCACAAATCATCAAAAACACCACATGCAAACCCATTAGCTTCCCTTACCTCGGAGAAGAAGAATTTAGCTTTAGGGAAAAGAAAGAAGAAGAAGAATATTCGTGCCTCCAGCTAGCAATCCACACCTCTACTCAACACCTTCCACGCGACTCCGAGTTTCTCCCAAGCTTCAAGCTCCCTAACACCAAAACCTAAATTTTCCTCGGCTCAATCTTTAGAAAACAAGAAGGAAAGGAGAAAAGGATTTAATTTCAGCCAAGAAAAAAGAAATGAAGAGTAAAGGAGAAACGGATTTGAGACTTACAATAAATATTATCATATTTTATTAAAATTTAAATTTAAATATTATATTATATTTAGTTTAGAACTTTAACATTATATTACATTAAATGTTAAGAATTTATAAATAATATTTTATTTAAATTTTAGTATTATAAAATTATATTATTATATTTATTTAATATTATTTTTTATATTGATAATAATATATTTATTATTTTATTAATACCATTTTAATTATAATTCAATTACAATTAAATCATTAATCTTAAATTAGTATTAAAATCGATTCAATAATCAATCCAATTTTCAACACTTTATTATTGATACTACATCCAATGAAAAAAAATGATATCGTTGCTTATTATACTACATTTTCTTTAAAGGATTGAACTCAAATACAAATTCAAATGAAAACCAAAATCATATATGAGATATATAAATAAGATTCGTGAATCACCATAATCTTATTATCAGCTGTTCATTGTGAATGTTGTCATCGTGTAACAGTAAGAATTGAATTGTTGCACTGTTTGAAATTAAAAACAAAAATCACGCACACGCGTATATCCGGACATTGGTGCACAACTAAATCAAACTATTATAAAGTTTGATCTTTCTAATAAAACAAACCCAATAACATGCGTCTCTTTTTTTTTGGTATAAATAGTTGCATGTCAACATTCGAAAGCAACTTAATGAGATGGAAAACTAACATAACATAAAAGCATTGCAGTGGGCAATTGTGTTTTAAATGTAAAAGGGTCTGTTGTTAAGACAATTTTACCCTCATTATTCACTTAATACGTTATTATGACAATACATAAACATGAACATAAATTGTTTAGTATTTTAATTTATATATCAATTTGTGGGGCACTTTAATTTTGGTTTATTCTTTGTATAAAGATTTGATAGTTTAAGAAGTAAATAATAAATAAGCAAAATGTTTTTTCATAAAATATGCTTTTAAAACAAGAGAGATCGAACCTAAAAATCTACGAATCTCTCTTGAACTGTAACGTATAAATGCTATTGCTAACTGAAAATTATATGGTTTGCATTCATTGTTTATTTGCATTAAAATTAACAAAAACTGTAATAATACTTGTCATCAATAGTGTTCAGGTTTTGCTAACACGAACTTATGAAAACAAGGGGGGAAATTATAAAACCTATATCATGATAATTAAGTAACACTTTGTATTATGATAATTACGTTATTTGGCTCCTAGACAAAGAATGCATTGAAACAGTTATCGTGTCTCTCGTATATTCTAAGTCGCTCGCTATCATGAGTCCAACATTATGATAAAAACAAAAAATGTTATACCATGTTACTCAGCAACATAATTGTAGGATGATATAAATTGCGGAGAGGAAAATCTGCATGACACGAATGAAAAAGAAAAATTCATAGAATAAATTATTTATTATAATAAAACATAAATTTCCACCCTAATCATCTCATTCTTTTATTAATATATATTTCTGTCTTCTCATTTGCAAGTCAAGCATCTATATCTCATTTCTTCGTACGTCTATAGATGATTGAGTTTGATTATTGTCTCATACCAAATATTTTGGTATTTTTAATATTTAATATTTTTTTTATTCATGAGAATTGAACACAGATATCAAAATAATTTATAACACTTATGCATCTGGTTCAATCAACTAAACTGGATCTCTCAATTTTTTTATTTAATATGAACTTAATTTGTTTTATTATATTTACTTTACTTTTTTTTTTTCTGTAATAACGCAGCCCAAAATTGGTAAAGTTAGTTAGTAAAATAACTTTTTATTATTGTCATTTAGGGATAGATGTCATAGCTTCACAGTATGTTGAAATACTAAAAATGTGAATAAAATAAAACAGTATTAGATATAGTGATTTCCCCCTAATATTTATGAAGAATATTTTAAACATTCACTCCCCCCACATGTAACTACAACTATAACTATTAACGACTAGAATGAAAGATTAATTGTTAAAAAAATATACTGAATCAAAATTTAAAATTATTCGTTGAGGTAATCGATTAGATTTCAAAAATTAATAAATATTTTTGCATTAATAAAGCGATAAAAAACTACACACATATGCATATAATCATAAATATAGGCTTGCGTAGTTATATATATATATATATAT